TAGGTTGTGGCAATATTAATTATTTCCGGCTATCATAGTCGAGAATTTCATCATGAGTAACAGACCTAGAGTGCTGTACTATGCACCGTCCGATCGAATTGATCCAATCCTCCTTCTCTTTCTCCGAATCAGCAATAAAATACATAGTATCAGAACGAGTAGAAAGCTCAAAAACGAACTGTTTGTTTAAAACATCTTCGGCTCCTTTAACTGTGAGGCAATTAGCCACTGGAATCACACCACGTGGTTTCGACCCGCGCGTGATGTTCGCTTCCTTGAACCAGAAGAGCTTTCCTTGTTTCAACACGAACCAACGGCGACGCCATGTTTTTATGTACTCGCCTTGTTTAGTGAGCCAGCCGGTTCGTTCTGGGTTCGACCAGAACTCGACTCCGTCGTAGTCGTCGTTCGATTGAGTCGTGCTTCCCATTGCTGCTCGCCATAGACTGGCCATGGGTGATGAGAGAGAAAGAGGAGAGAGAAGGCAGAGAAAGTGTGAACGCTAGACAGGTGGTTGCTTGTTTTATTCCTTTTTTTCTGTTTTTTTCTCTAACTTCATATTTTAATTTATGCAGTAATACTATTTTAGTAGAATTACTAAACTTTAATAAAAGGACCGTCCACGGAAGGACCAGACCAAAATTCTATCTTTATGTACACACTCTTCCCTTATAATATATTTGTTCCATAATAAATGATATTTTTGCTCTTTTATTTTGGTTCAAAATAAATATTTTTTTACATAATTAAGAAGAAAATAATTTTTTTTTTCAAATTTATCCTTATTTATATATCTCAATGTATCAAGTTAACAGTATATAAATTTTAATTAATATTAATTTAGTCAAAATACTTTTTTTTCTCGGAGTTAGTATTTTCTTAAGGGGTGTGCCAAAGGTTAAAATGTTATTATTATAGACCGAAAGAAGTATTTAATTTGGCTATGAATATTCACAAATATTGACTTACAATATCGTCAAGCGAAATATTGAATGTTAGTTTTAAAGGTGTTTGTAAGTCAAATATTGGCTTCCCCTACAAATTTTCAACATTTACAAAAGTACCTTTTCCTGAAGTTCATGTCAAACTTTTTTTCAACTTTAAATACTACTACAGTAATATTTTACTGTCCAAACACCTAGATATACAATATTTCATAAGTAACAATAAAATACTAGTAAATCAATAGTTACACAATTTGATTAAAAAAATTAGTATAGCAAAATCGAAATTAAATAGATTAAAAATAAATATTTCTTGGATTAAAAGAATAATGTTAAATATTTAAGACTGTCTTGGAATGGGTCATGATATTTTATTGCAGTTTGTATGTTTGAACTTCTGCTAGCTGCATTTACACCACCAATAAGTGCTACTCAGTATAGTGTAATGAGATAATGGGACCATAACCATTTCCTCCAATGTGGAATAAAACATTAATAACACCATATCTCTGCAAAATTTATATCCTCATTTACTACCTTGTAGACTTTGATTGATATTCTGCTACTAGGAATTAGAATGAGGTACATCCCCTTGTTTGAATCTTAGAGATCGTTTGGTAGGGTGTATAAAAATAATGCCGAATAAGGTGTATTAATAATACAGGGATTAGTGATGCATGAATTAGTAATGCAAGCATTAATTATGCAGGGATTATTTCTTATCCATTGTTTGATGTGGTGTATTAAAAACTAAAATGCATTGTATAATTTTTAAGAAAATTAGTTGTTTACAAAAATGCCCTTCATATTATTTAGTTTTAAGGGACTTTAAGGACAATTTTGTCTTTAACCATGCTAATACATGCATTAATAGCCTTGGTATTGCTAATACAATGATTTGCTATGTATTAGTTATACATAGAACAACAACATACCTAGTGTAGTCCCACAAATGGGGTTTGTGTAGGATAGAGTGTACACAGACTTTACCCCTGCCTTTAAAAAGGCAAAGAGGCAGACCTTACCCCTGCCTATGTATTAGTTATACATAGGATAATACCAAATATGTTGTATAACTAATACTTGCATTAGTAATACATAGGTTGAAAGTGTACCAAAAAGGGATTAATAATACCAAAAGCTAATGCATCCTACCAAACGACACCTTAATCGTGTCGCCACAAATTGAGAACTTGAAAGTGGAACGAAAATAATGCAGAAAATTGGTTCAAGCACACAACACAACTAATGAGATAAAGGCTGGCTTCAAATAATTTAGCTAACTAACGGTGCATCAATCTTTACATAATCAGTGAACCATATGCCTCAGTTCCTCATAGGAAACCATCATAATTCAGGTACCAAAACCCTCAATCCGGCACTGAATCGAAACTATAATTTCTTTTATCCCATATCCGGGAAGGGTAATTAATCATCACCTTCCACGCATACCGGCAGGAGATCGAACACCTTTATCACTGCTAATAGCATCATCAACTTCACTCCCATCAACACACACCGCATTGTTATTGATGCTCACTTCAGAACTAGCATTACTGCTCGTATGAAGTGGGGAGTCAGATACACTCACTGTCCTGCTTCTGTTAGGTCCTGATCTCACACTGTACATAGAGGATGCTGGAATATTAGTCATCGATGGACGCAGAATACCTGGGATGCTTCGCCTTATATCCTGTTTGAGAGGAATGCCGTCAATTACGCAAAACCAAGAAGTATAAAGAGAACAAGAAGGCTGACAGGGGGGGGCGGGGTTCTTAGAGCTCTGGAAAAACCAAGAGCATATTTAAAAAGTTTAAGAAGGCAATAGATGCTTTCAAACTACAGAAACTTATCTCAAAAAAGAAGTCTTCAATCTGAAGGGCACTACGCTGCATTAATACAGAAATGACAATTTCTAGATATGCTGTATAGATAACATTCATGACCATCATCTAGCTTATCCAAGTGGATTTAGCGTACTATCTTTTGCCTAAATAGCAGCATGAAATGAAAAGAATATACATACCATATGCCTCATAGCCATATCCAGGGATTTCTTTGACAGTGTCCTTCCAAAACCCGAGCTGTCAGGTGATGAAGAGTTTGCAGATAAGTTACTACGGGGAGAATATTTGTTATCCTGCTTTGCAGGAGGAGCCAGCTTCCGCATATTTACTACCCTTTCAACCATCTTAGTTCCAATCAGACCAGGGCTTACATTATCATTAGCTTTAGCATGTAATCGACTCATAGCTGGGATCGGAACAGAGCTTCCACTGCTACGCACAACACCATTAGGAGGACGTCCTCTCGCTGGAGAGCAAGATTGTCGTCTAATCCTTCCATTTGTAACTGGCTCAATGGATGAAGATCTAACATTTGGTGCTCCAGGTCTACCCCTTGTAGCTGAAATTGGCCTGTCAGATAGTGATGTCCGTAAATTGGGTGGAGCATCAAGGGAGAACCCTGGAATATCTGAAGGCTTCCAAGGTCTGGGTTTTACAGTTGGAGAACTAGCACGTGAGTATCCAGGATTTCTTGCCGTAGTGGTAGCTGTGGTAACTGAAGATGGAGATTTAATGAGAGGAGCAGTAGCAGTAGCTGTACTTGACACTGAAGTAGGCCGCCGAGTTGGAGTTGCTACCCTTGATGTGGACTTCGATCCAGGAACAGAGGCCCTGGTTGTGGGCGTTGAGGAAGCTCTGGTTGTTGGCGTTGAGGACCTTGCACTAGACCTGGAAGTAGGTGTTGAAGATCTTGGAGGAACTGTGGATTTAGCAGAAGGCAAGGTGGCACGAGAAGTTGGGGTTGAAGACCTTGATGGCCGAGACGAGGTAGTGGTATACACTGTTCTAGAGGTTGCAGTGGATGTCATTGATTTTGATGCTGCAGTAGATGTGCGTCTAGATGCTGATGTCAAAGCAGATATTGCGCTTAATGTGGGTCGTCCTGTTGGAGTTGAAGGTCTTGATCCACCTGATGAAGATGGTCTTCGAAGTCCTGAATTTGAAGTATTTAATCCATGGGTGGAAGCAAGCTGTCTAGATGCTAAAATGCTTCTACCAGAGGGCTCAGGCTGGGGATTTGCTAACTGCATCCACAATAACAAGTGGCAACATAAAATCAGTCCATGGTTCCCAAAAAGACTCAAGCTAAGATTGCCTAGCCGGAGGTTCCAACATTCCATCTGAAATTCCTAATTTTTACGTGGGCAGGTGGTAGGCAAAATTCCGTATCTCTTCACATCTTAGGAAAATTTGCAACTTGTGATGCAACTTGTGATTAAAGGGTGACCTTACTATCCAACAACTATGCACTCACTAGAATTTAGTACATCTGCAAAAGGTGGTGATATTTTTGAGAGATTGAGCAATGGTAATTCCACATGCTCACAAGGAACTTTTTTAAGAAAATGCAAATGAGCACATCATATATTGCTTTCGGACAAGAGTTAAGACAATTGTGAAATATCAACAAAGATGATTTCATTGGTAATAGCATTTGACTAAACGATAGAGCCACCACGTATGCATGTGTTTTGAACTAAAAGACCTGCAAGGTCCTTTCTACCTAAATATAAAACATTTCCTTTTACTTCTTGCACATCTCCACATCCCCTCTACAGGCTGAACGTGAGGCGAAGTAACTTTGAAATTATTAAGATAAGATTTCATGTATTGCATATATCATATAAAATACTCATTCTAATTACAGAAAATGCATTATTTCAGAAAATAATGGGGTAAGAAAAGTTTAGTATATTCTTACTCTAGATTTTAATGCAGTTGGACGAGCTTTAGCTGTTCCCAGCCGACTCATCATTGATTTTTCCGACTCCATCTCAAGTGAAGGAAAAAGAGGAGTACTGGGAGGTGTTAGAAGCCTGAAACACAAAAATATCGTCTCAGAATAAAGAATTAAACATTAGATAAAAGACACAAGTGAAAATTCTTTTGATACTGAATGATTGTATTAGTGTGGCAAAAGATAATCCAATTTCAGAGGTCTGGAAGAACCTTTTCTCTTCTACTTTTGAGCCTTATAGCAAGGGGGTTAACAACACCTACTCGTTTACTTGTTTGCAAAAACATTTTGATATATGGAATTCATTAGTTTTATTAGTTAAACTTCGAAATATAACTAAGAGCTTTATATACTGTACATATTGTCTAGCTATTCATGATGTTTCAATGAACATTGATTATTGAATGCACCTTTCATCCTGAATAGTTTGGCATATTATCTCTGAAGAAATGCAAGTACAGAAATAACTAAACTGCAGAGCTGTGACGTAGCATGACTATAGGCTGTGATGTTAATAATAAGGCTTGATGCGCAAAGTTTATCAGATTGTCAGTTAGCTTGTTAGTTAGGTGTTAATATGCAGATGTTCCTTTGTAATAGCATAAGAATTGCTAATTTGAAGCAGTTAGATTTCTCTCCCACTCGCTGGATTTTCCTTGGTCTAACTTAGCTGAGCTCCCCCTTTAGGAACGTGAATCACCAACCAATGGTAAGGCTCACCACTAGCACCCTCGCTCCCCAATACATATAAAATTATAATTGCTTATCCACTTTTTTTTACCCCCTCATTTTCAAAGTTTT